GAACGGTTTGTCTGTTTTAGGGAAATTTACCATTTTTTTTCCAATATCTCAAAATTTTGCTCGGTGACATATAGTGCAAAAATACAGTGTCTTACAAGGTACTTTTGATGTATAGAAGTATTTACAACTTTACAACGATTTTAGTTGGTTTTAACGGTGAAATGCGTGTTCGTGTTGTCTATAGAAACTGCTGCTATTATTTCTATTATTTTCCCGTTTTTCCCAACAATCAGATTGACAGTAAACCAAAAAGTTCACATACTATTGAATACTAAAACGAATAAATTGCAGACAGATTTTGACACAACATACTGCTACACATGTAAAAATAAATTTGCGAGTATATTTGCCATATAGTTGGGTGTTTCATTATTCCAGTAATTCATTTCACAAGTGTCATATTACACAGAAAATACTAAAAAAAGCTATATTACATTATATCCAGACTAATATATCCCCAAACACATTGTTATTACTTACACAAACCACGATTATACTATACCCAAACACATTACAATGTATGGTCCAATTACACTACAATACAATGGAACCATCACAATGCGTTTTAATCGGTTACCAAACCAACGAAATGAATTATCTCAAGAGACCATTACACGCCCTTTAAAAACAGACCTAATGCACAATCATAACTGATTAAAAATGCAATTACTGGAGTGAAAAGTTCATGAGCAACATTTTGTCTACCTTTAATATAAATCAGACCTATCACATCAAATTATAAACATATGTATGTACATAAAGAAAGCAAAGGAAAAGAAGAAAACAGGTCGATGTACATATACCTGGGCCAAACAAATAGTCCATACCGTATGAAAATGTAATTACACAACATTAGAAACTGGTTGCTATTAATATCATATACAAATTATAATGCGGTGTACCATAAAAGCTGAAGACATCCCTTAACACATAATGGGGCATATCTTCAATCATCCAATAATCACACTGATTCCCAAGCACGCAAAGATGACTGACAGCTCTGATACAATATAATCACTGTCATGTGACAATACGGACTTATTACTATGACCTATAATATGTTACGCCACAGTTACAGCATTGTTCTTTTTTTAATGTCAATCAATGTGAAATCAGCTTATTGACTACGCTGCTGCTGTCATATGCAAATTTTAATACTTATAAGTTAATCGTTTAATTCTATATTTGTTGCTTTATTGTTACTTAATAATCTCAGAACTAACACTTGTATTTATGTTGATTTACTAGTTCGTAAGCCAAATGACAATGTACACTAATACTATTATCTCTCACCTTCACAAACTTGGGGTGTAAACCTTTATGAATTATTACTCCATTTTATGTTTAATTATGCGTATTTTTTGTAGTTGTCTATCGTTATATTGTGTATGGTGTGATAGTTTCAAATAAAATAAAATAAAATCCTCTATTTTTGGCAAGATAAAATGTACTGCCATTCGCAAAACAGGTCAAGCGATACTAATATCATACATTTGGGTAAATTGTTTACCGGGTACAGACAATGACACTCAAATGTGTATTTTTATACATCTCAAATGAGAGCCAGTACATTTACACCCGGATATGCCCCAACACGGGCGGGGTGTAAATGTATTATTCATTCTTTAATAAATACTGTCTTGTATTATGAGTGAGACCATCTATAGTTGAGATCAGTTTCTTTATTCCTCTTTCGTTTCTTGACGTCAATGACGCTATTACAAACGTCACGATTACTATTGACCTGTATTCAAATGAAGTCGATTGACAGCTGTCTGGAGTATCTTGCAGCATTAAGAAAGTCATGTGATTTGGTTTTAAAAGCTCACATTTTGATATTTTTGGCGGGAAAGCCACTATGTGGTTTTGGGTAGTGATCCGTGCCATTGTATGCAGGCCATTGTAGCGTTATTGTTTCTGGGTTTGAATATGCGAATACATTTCTGTTTGCTGTTGTATGGCCAAAATGGTTTCACGTCTTGCCTGAAGTGATGAACAATAGTAACAGTATTTCAAGGATTTCGGTAAGAGCTAGTACATATTTGTCTTTATTGTTAAACTTCCAGTTTATTAAATAGTTTTGGAATTGATTTTAGGCGTCTTTGTCTGTTTATTATGTTTATTAATAGTGCACAGACCTGCCACTGTCACACTGACCGAGGGTTAATAAGAGTGACCTAGATTTCAATCTCAATGGTGAGAATGTCTTGAAATTTGAAAACGTTTTGTAATATTTATTGTTGACTGCATTGAACAACATTTTTCTTGTCTGGCGGAACAAATATATTATTTATTGCGTTTTATACGATTACTTATTTCCATTCGTTAATTACACTTGACGTGTAATAAATGTGTTGTTATGCTAAGCCGACACCATTATAAGTGTTGTTTGTTGAGTGATGTGTACGAGCATTTCACTGATACAAACGATTGCAGCAAAAACAAAACGGTAAAAACTGAAAAATGTAATTACCTTGGACATTCAGAAACACTTATTTTCTGCATTTATATATTTGTCAACAAATTATGACCGTGCAGCAACACTGTTTGTGGCGAAATTCTGAAAAGCTTAGGGGGCCAATGAAATACAGTGAGAATTTTGTGGACAGCTTTTTCAATAAGAAACAAGATATTTTGAATTTAACATGGCTGCATAGAGGGCGCTATATGGAAAACTAAAAATGCAGACGATATAACTATATGACAATTGTAACTGTCTCTATACGTGATACGAGTTAAATGACTCAGTGTTATACTTTTGAATCGGCTGACAGTTGAAAAGTTGTGATCGTCGCACCACGCATGCGCACAATAAGAATCTCATGTAAACACATACGGTAATTTTATTGCCCAGATCATTGAGCATAAAAAGGAAAGCTGTAAAAATTTAACTTTAGTGTGATTAAGTAATTCTTTTGTGGTGATTTGAATGCACAGAAGGACACTAAAAAAATCTAAGTCATTATTCAGTGAATTTCGAGGGCCAGATCGTAGTGCGATTACCACTACTAACCCTTAACGTATAACGTATATCAGTGAATTGATTGACATTGTGTACTAAACAAATCAATCTAACGTTCCTCCACTCAACTGTTTTGTATGTACTATCAGTAATTGTAAATTGTATCAGTAAATGTATACTATACATCTCAGGAAAAATTCAAATATATTACTCATTGTTCGTGAATTACTGTCAATATTTATGTTGCCATTTTTTTATTTGTAATATTTTATTCTGTCGTATCATGCGTTCTCCGCCAGATTTGTTTGTATGGTACAAATAACAAGCAAATATTAATTTTATTATTATTATTATCATTAAAAAAATGAAACGCGAATTTGAGCTCGGCTTGGAAATCCTAACTGTTGACAGTTACTTCCTCTTCAAAGTGTTTTAGGAATGCTGTTCTGTCGGTCTGGTTTTTGGTGTCCGTTTCACGTTGTACTAAATTATTACAAACTCACAAATGCCGCATTCTACGACGTTGCTCCATTTCTGTATGGTTGTGTTCTTGGAGTCCCCAAAATCTGAGTTGCGTCGCAACAATACAACAATACTGAATTGAGTCACGCCAGTACACCGAGATAAAATAGGTGTAAAATAGGTTGCTATTGATAGTGCTAACAATGTTATTGATCTTCAAGTTGAGTCTGTGAGTCTTCCACCTATTTCTGGTGTCAGGTGAAGGGATGTGACTGATGCTAATTTTGAACCCAGAACTTACGAATGTTTAAATACACAGCTGTTCAAACGATGGCAACGTGCACAAATTCCATTTTTTTGTTTGTTTCTGATTTGTCAACATGTCAAACTAAATAAATGTGTTCTGATACCCGAACTACATTCAGTAGTCCACTCGATTGGTCAGTGTTACAGTGTGGTAGCGCTATGGAGACAAGATGATTCGAAATTCATTCACCAATTGAACTCCCCATGGGGGATACTGTTAGTATATTATACACGATATACGCTACAATACAAAACACCCAGACATATTAAAGCGTGGAAGTCGCCACCAACGCACGGTTAAAACGCAAATGTTCATGGGTAGACGCTTATTTGTAAACAATGCGCATGCGCAGTTGACGACTCCAGTTTGGTCAGCATATAGAATGTACTTCAGAGACAAGTATAATTATGATCACAATGCAAAAACCACTATGGTTGACTTGATGTTGTTATTAAACTATAAAATTTATTCAAAGTTAATGTGTAGACTAAGGAAAATAAATATACATTATTTATCAAAAGTCATAAGAAAATGAAAATAAATTAGTAGGTTTATATTACTTGCCATGTGCATGTACAATATGGCATTCCACATAAAATCTACAATCCCTGTTAAGCAGTTTTCACCACTGTTTCATTCAATCGGATATATTTTCCGGGGTAAGGACACAGACATAACAAATGAAACAGCACAATGGCAGTCAATTAAAGTTTCACAATACATGATTGAAAAAAAAAAAGTGTATTGTCTGTGATATAATAATGTACACTGATGGCATATATAAACTTTACATTAAATATTAATTAAATCCACAGCCATTATTCAGAAGATTTTGAATTGGGTCTCTTTGTTTTCAAGAATATTGTTTTTAAAGGCAGTCTTTTCTCTGGTTAAGCGAAAATGTTTTATTTTTTTGTCTAACCCAATACAGGCAGGTAAACAAGATGTGTGCTTGTATAGTAAGTCACAATGTAGTTGAAGTGTTGAATTGTAAACTGATATTTACAGTTATATATTATTTGTACAATGAAGTTCAAGATATAAAAACTGAATACAGTGAAAAAGGGATAATTTCCACCACTAAGGACCCGACGAATCGCACATAAAACAAGTTTAAATAATGTATTGCAATTGCACATTATCAAGATGAAAATCCGAAACGAGATTTTGCATTATGCATGTGTATTTCTCAGAACATTGTAAGCTGAATTATCTATATATCGTCATCGTCACTAGCAACTTCGTTCACATACTCCGGACTGTTGTGCTTCACGGCGGTGAAATACGGCCACTTTTGCTCGCTTGATGGTCTTCGCCGGAGCATAATTTTTCGGACGATTCGTTTATTCGGTGTGGATTGTCCGTGGTTATACCGGACAGTTCCATGCTATCCAATCCTGTATTTGTAAATTTATCTGGCTCCAGGGAGGTAAAATACGGTTGTCTATCGGCGAAGCCGCCGCTCTCACTCACTGAATTGTCTTCATCAGAGTTTTTCGGTGACAGATAACCGGATGCGCTACTGTCACCAACATTGAATTCATCGGATGATGTTTTATTTGCCATGTTATCTACTAGTGGTACGTCAGTTATATTTATATATTTAACAGGTGGGTTGTTGAGGTAGTCGGCAAACTGGCTAAGCAACTCGTTTAATCGATCACGAAGCTGAGTAAAATTCGGTCTCTCTTCCGGGTCTTCTTGCCAACATTGCGTCATAAGTTCATACCTGTTCAAATAGACTGATAGGTTAAGATTGGAAATATAGTGGGTCAGAAATATGATTTATTTGTTTTACCATCTGAGTAACGTGTGTGAACTGTAAGCGTTACAGTCACCACGCAGAGCACATTTAAATATTGTGTAACAAACTATGTAATTTATCCAAGTTGTGTAAGCGTAGGCACTTGTTTTCCGTTTTCGGCGTGTATGCGTGTGCACTGAGTGGTTGGCAAGAACCGATCTTACACAAACTGAAGATAACAAAAAGTCGTTGTTTGCTGTTGTAGTTATTTAATATACGTGCAGGTACGTGTCTATGTTAATAAAACAACCACGCGTAACGTCGTCACATCACATCGCAAGCTAGTACTGATCATTGAGCGACATTTATCATCAGATATTCGCAGAGTAGTTGGCAAAATGTGAACATATGACGTCACATTACGACGGCCTACAGTAATATAGGACCAACATCGACCCCGACGTGGTGGGATAACAGTGGCTTATTAACAAAATATCATGTTCAAAATGAAACAGAAAATGACGTTGAATTTTTTGATCATGACTCCATTCAGTTCTGTGATCCAGATCTACGCCAGCGCAAGGTGTTTGTATGTACTTATAATTCAATACACACATTTATTTGTAATTATTTGAACTGACACTACTTTGGAAGCGACAAAACACAGATTTTTTTTAATAAATTCTATACACAGTGAGCACATGCACAAATATTAACTAACATTATAAGTTAAAGGGTGGTCGTCACGCCGCATCCCCTTCGACATAGCGACGCGTGTAAAATATACTGTTTAAAATAAATCCGAACACGCGCTGCGCGGCATCCACATACATTTATATTTAAGGTGAAATACTGCATGTTTATACAACTTACATCACGGGAGAACAGCCGTGTGGTTTTGGCATTCTGTAGCCATTCCGTAAGTTAATCAGCACTTCTCTTGGAGTCATTCCCGGATATGGTCGACCACCCCTTGTAACAATCTCATAAAGTACTATGCCGAATGACCATCTAAGTCAAAGAGATATATAACAAATAATAACGTACAAAGCATTATGAATGATGAACAGTATGTTCCAACAGAACACAACATACCACACCAGAACACAGCATAGCACAACACAACACAACATAACACACTAGTACACGTCGTTACTTACACATCACTTTGCATAGTACATTTCCCTTCTAGGTTGGTTTCGGGACTAACCCAGTGGATAGGTCTCATTGTGTCTGCAGGAAGATCCATCCAACCCCGCAGGTATACATCATTAGTCAGTCCGAAATCAGTTATTTTAATTAGCAAGTCTTCCCCAACCAGAATATTCCTCGCAGCCAAATCGCCATGCACATACTTCTTGTTGGCCAAAAACTCCTGAAAATATGCATAGCAACGATGACGACAATCATTTGGAATAACAACCACGAACCAGAAATTTAATGCGTACTGTATAGGGACTAACATATCAAAGATCTTAAGCCCCCCCTCAAAAAACTGCTGATTTCCTCACCATGCCCATTGCGATTTGCCTGCCAATTTGAAAATAATTCTTCTCACACAAATTATAAATTGTATCCTCCGCTTGGATTTGTTTCTGAAAGATAGCAAATGACGGAAGACAGTAATTGGAATACAATGCCACTCATTTCAAACATACACCTACTATGAGATATTATCGCGTGAAGTCATTGCGTTACGTTTTTCTATTGCGCCCTAACTAACCCCAATTGATCCTGCGAACTGTTACGATGAATGATGACGTATACTATGTAAATGTGTTCTTTTTCAAACGCAGAAACAAATTCACAGAAATTCCCCAAAATTGTTAAAATATTGTATTCGGTATTTTAATATTCGCCTCAACACATTGGTATGAACCAACTTGAATTGAGGCATCACCTATTTATTCAGTATTGTATAATGTTATGCAAATTATCCTTGTAAGAGTTCTGAATGTTTCACTTAGATTGCATTATGCCAGATATACCGTCGTATTATAAAATCAAATGTTTTCCGCCAACGTTAGCCTCACATATTCGTCTCCTCGTCTTCCTCATAACATAATAAATATTTTATTATAAACACACACAAAATAAATCTACCTTTTTGGATTGCCATAGGAAGTTTTTGAGATCCCCGTACTTCATATATTCGGTAATGAGAAGGTATGGTTCCTCAGAAGTGCAACATCCAAGAATACCCAATATGTTTGGATGCTCCCCTATCTCTTGTAAAAGTTGAATTTCACGTAGCATGTCTTCTTTTTGAGACGACGTGGCAGTGTCTGTCCTCAGAAATGTTAATAGAAATTATGGAGAGTTTGACATCTGAGACGCATGCATATTACCGGGTGTGTTGCATATTGTCCACGTGGATTCTTATACATTGGGTTATTTACGTCTACGTACGCTTTCAATCAATTTGGTATACATAGTTAGAAAATGTAATTGTATACGATTGGAGTTCAACCAATTCTATGAGGGCATAACATACATATATATTAGTATGGAAAATAGTATGATACATTTTTTTAATAAATATTTGGTTTGAAGAAATGCCATATATGGAATTCTCCCTCTATCATAACTGACATCCACACATCTCGGAGTCCTTATATCCATAGTTCAAAGATTTGTTACCGTACAATTTTGCTTTCGCTAATTAAAACAAATTGTTCAGCACCTAATTTATTCCATTCAATTTCTTTCATTCATCCATCTATGCTTTCGTTACCGGAACCATCATATATTATTTTTGCCATTTTTTTTAAATCTGAACTTACCTTTCAATTTTTTGACCGCAACAGGAAGAGCGTCTTTTTTTCCTGCAATACCAGAAGCAATTGCCTTGTACACCACCCCGAAATGACCACTTCCAAGTTCGGACACATATTGCAGACGATTTAAGGGAAATTCATATTTCGATACAAGACTGTTGGCTTTTGCAATATAATTTGTATCTAAAATAAAAAGTTGGAAATAAAATCACAGAACGTTCGTGTTTCTTCTATGTGACCAATCTTATACAATGGCCTTCGACTTGATACCCACTCATATGTCACTCTCAATCTCACGTGGATGATGCATAATATAGCTAGTCATAGCACGTCTTAATTGACCAATCATAACAGTGTTATAGATACCCTTCCCACTCGAATTCATAAAGTACATAAGTTTCTCATTGTCATGGCAATGTTAGTGTTTAAAAAAAATCTGTTCAACTATTAATAGTCGTTGTCGTTTCTGTACCTTGTCATCAGCCAAGAGTATACAAACATAAGTTGTAGATAATATATTACATTAGGAAGTTATATGCGCTAGACGTGTAAGGCTATTCGTGATTTAATATAACTTAATGGCGTAATGGGTAATGATAAACATAATTATAATCAGAGTAATTAGGTATACGATGATGTATTAAACTTATGAAATAATTTACATATCATAACTACCTTGCATTATGTCCGTTGTAGGAATTTGTGTCTCCAACACTTCTAATTTATTGGATCGCCTAGCAACACATACTATGGTTGCAATAATAGCGATCAATAGTGCGCCAACAGCGGCAGACACTCCAATGATGATGGCAGTGCTGGAACTAATCAACTGTGCTGACACGCTGTTAGTTTTATCAATGTCTTCAGAGTATTGCAGTGTGGTCGGGTAATAAGTAGAACTATGTGGCACGGTGTGTGTCTCATTAATATGTACAGAGTAACTAGCAGTGAATTGATGATACGTTTGTCCTGTGAGATATCAACAAATTGCAATATGTACTTATTAACGTGTTTGATTAGGACATAGTAAAAAGTGTAAAGTGATACAATTCAAATTATGTCTACAAGTAATGTATTCACTCTTTATTAAATACAGTAGTGTATTTACACCATGATATGATCTTGTATTCTCATGTGTATATTGGTTGAGTGATCGATGAATTGCATTCTCACCATTGCATAATTTGTTTCTCGTCAACAGCATTGGAAACAAAGCCTACATTCATGTATCGTGTTTGGAGGTGGACGGTTCATCAACAGTTTTAAAATTCTTTTCCGAAATCATACAACCTTTACTAGCACTTCCACGCCAGGAACGATGCTACCTATATATTTTCTGAATTATAAGTTGGTATACGAGTATTGATAACACAATTTTATAAGACGTTATAGTGTGAATACTGAAAAGAGTACATTAAACCAATAACTTTTCCTGGATTATAAAATGTTAAATATGCCAAGTACTAAATAAAAAATACACTTACTTTGTACCTCAACAATGATGCTTGCAGTTGAATTTCCAACAATAACACCCACTGAATTCCGTGCTTCTGCATAGCACCCATACACTCCGCTGTCTACCTCTGGTAAATCTGTTTTATTCAAATTGATCACACCATTCACAGGAACAACTGGATCGGATGTGTAGTTTGGTGCAATCCACCACACGGATACATCAACACTCGGTAGGTTTACACTACAGATAATTTCTAACACGTCAGTGTAGTTGATGGTATATATACCCTGGTGATTCAATGAAACTTGAAGATTTCCTGAATGAATGGATTATCGAAAATGATGTGAATTTTAAAAACTCGCCCAGTCATGAATTAACATTAAGTAAACATACGTTGTAGAAAACAGTTATTTTCTCTTTTATATATGATACAGACATTTTACAATACACAAAACTTGTCTGAAGTAGCAGTCAGAGTGATCAAGTCATGGTGGTGTTACTACCATTGTAGATATGCATTGTGTTAATGCGGGGGAGTCGTCACCTGCGCATGCGGCAGACAGTCATCGCGCATCGTTGTTTATAAATATTACTCATGCGTCTTCGTGTTTTTAGCGTGCGTTGTTATCGTCATTTGGCACTCTATTCTTGCGCGGCCGCAGGTGACGATCCCTCCGCTATAAACAGTACATAAGGACTAAAATTAAGAAATACTATTATCACCTGCATCTGCCCGGCGTGGTAAAAGTGTAGGGAACACAACGGTAAAGCGGGGTGTTGTGGGGGGCTTACCCCGAAACAACTACCCGAAGTCCCGCGGCCTTAGCTACTAGCTGTCTTAATTTAATTTGAAGTGCCAGGCGATGTCAACATAATTTCCCCATTGACAAATTATTCCGATATTCCCAACATCAATTGACACTGATCACTCCGCTGATTGGCTACTAGCACTGTCAATCACTTGGCCGATGTATAAATCAGAAAATGGCTGCTCCATGTCATGTAATTGTATAGAACATACTTTAATTTTAATGAAGTGTGCCTATCCAAAAGACATTGATAATTGATTTGATTCTTTGATCACTGAACCACATTTATTTTACCAAAGAAACATCTAAATAGCCCCAGGCTAAACACATAAATATTAATATTCTACGTATACAATCCTAGATAATCAAATGATGCACGGTGTAATCACACTATATACACATACTATTTGATTTATGACTTACGTTTGTCACATTCTGAGTGATCACATTCTGTACACAGACCATCAACATTGTTACAACTAGAACCACTGATACATGTACAGTATTCATGGCAATTATCGCCCCATCTATCAGCATCACATACTGAAAGTAACCATATTCCAATAACATTTATGTGGGTGATGTTCATATTTTCCTTTTACGTGAGTTTTGTTTATGTCACTCATTGTGATTTTCACATGATGCCTCAGAATAGTTTGACAATACGGTAAATATATTGTTTGACTTTCGTGGCCTCGATTTACCTGACTTCAGATTTGTTTATCCAGTACTGTATTTACAGACATTGGAAGGGACTATTTCCCCAATTTGCATATTAGTGAGAGTCAATTACAGTGTCATCTCCGAAATATATATTACATTGGCAATTTGAGCAACACATGGGTTTGTTATTGTTGCATGTGACAATATCGCTACCAAACTGTCTATAACTAACAACACTAAGTTATTTAATAATGCCAACATGATTTACCTGTACATGAGAAATCAGATCCACTCCATTGTCTATTTGATTGACAAGTTCTAGACGATGATCCAGATGGGGTATATCCAGTATGTACATACAGTGTCGTAATCCGTTCCTGATGGTGTACATGACATGCCACCATTTGATGGGGCATTAATAGCTGGACAAGTCACAACTGCAAAGAATGAATATTATTATACAAATGAAAGGTTGATATGTCAACCTAGAGAGAGCGTTTTTGAATAAGGCAAATGCAAATTATTAAATAAGCACCTGAATACTTGGTAAGAATTAACCAATAATGAACAGTGACTAATAAATTACCAAGAATGTAAAAATACACACACATTCATTATTTACAATGTTAACATAATTTACCTGTACATGTGAATTCAGATCCACTCCATTGTCCAGTTGATTGACAAGTTCTAGACGATGATCCAGATGGGGTATATCCAGTATCACAATTGAATGTACATACAGTGTTGTATTCTGTTCCTGATACTGGTGTACACGAAATGTCACCGTCTGAGGGAGCTCTTACAATTGGGCATGTTACTACTGCAAATATGAATATATAATATCAAATAATACAAAATAATCAAAACATTATATTTAACAAACAATAAAATTAATATTAATTAAAACTAGTGTCAATATGGTTTACCTGTACACGTGAAATCAGATCCACTCCAATCTCCAGTTGATTGACAAATTCTAACCGATGATCCAGATGAGGTATATCCAGTATTACAGGTGAAAGTACATTCCGTAGTGTAATTTGTTGCAGATGTCACAGAACCGTCCTGTGTACATGCAATGTTGCCATACGTTGGAGCCATGATAATTGGACAAGTCACAGCTGCAACGAAGAATTAATAAATAATCGTTATACTTTACTAATGGTTTAAATATAATATAATACATTAAATGTTATCTCACACGTTATACATAGGCAATGTCAGCAGCACATTTGTATGGTATTGTTGCATATGGCTATACTAATGTACTTCTCATGACAATATGATTTACCTGTACACGCGAACTCAGATCCACTCCATTGTCCAGTTGATTGACAAGTTCTAGATACTGAACCAGATGGTGTATATCCAGTATCACAGGTGAATGTACATTTAGTATTGTAATCTGTTCCTGTTGCGGGTGAACATGACATGCCTCCGTGTGATGGGACACTGACAGTTGGACAAGTGACAACTGCAAAACAATATGATATATATATAAAATAAAGCAACAATGTGAATAAATCACAATGACTGACCAATTGTGAAAATAACACAAGTTATTACTAATATCAACACGAATTACCTGTACATGTAAAATCAGATCCACTCCATTGTCCATCTGACTGACAAGTTCTAGACGATGATCCAGATGAGGTATATCCAGCATCACAAGTGAATGTACATACAGTATTGTATCCTGTACCTGATTCTGGTGTACATGACATGCCTCCATTTGACGGGGTAATAATAGCTGGACAAGTCACAACTGCAATGGAGAATGAAAATTTTTATGCAAATGAAAGGTTGATATACACAAAACAAATAATAACTTTAAGTATATGATACAAATTATGCTTACATTCTTCATATAACGGCATATTACTTTGTATAAACCTGTTTTGGATTCCGTACCCCGATATAAAATATATGTATCTTCCTCATGTATACATCTGCATATTCAGTGGCAATATTATACTCATTTAATTATTATTATCATTATGTTTTCTAGTATGTCCTTTCGATCTGCTGTTTTACAGTCCCAATGCCGGGTCTTACCCAAAGACCCGAGGGTAGAAGGAAGGATGACACAAAAATTATTATTATTAAATATAAACATTTTGTTCACAGAAAATTATTTTTTAAGAAAATCGTCAAAAATCACATTAAGCAAAAATTGCTTAACGGCTTATAGCAACCACGCGTTGTATACTCATTAACAACAGTCATTATTTCATTAAGTAGACGTCTGTTTTTAAATTTAAGCTCGAAACAACAAATTATAAATTAATCAACACCACTTTTACCATTATGTGTGTCCTGTTTTGTGACAATTAAATGTACATTTCATTTGCATTAGCCAAGTACGGTTAATTTGAGTTGTCCATGTAATTCTTATTGCGTCCACGTTGTCTGGTTAATAAATAACAATACAGTCAAAATAACACATAACTATCATTGTCGGATCCCTATAGCAAATTATATAGAAAACGAGACATGAATAAATTAACGCATGCTTACCCCTACACACGATAGGGTTGACAGTCCACGTTGTACCATAACATGTAGCAACTAATAACGAAGATTCTGTATATCCATTTAAACACTCGAAAGTACACGTACTGCCATAATTCGTGCCAAGGGTACATAACGTGGAAAATGCATTCTGTGTATCCGGGAACTCTGTACAATCTCCTGACAATAAAATAAATGATAATATATCAAATGTTCAACATCATGAACGCGCCCTTTCAATGACTAGATGGAGTTACGTAAGTCGAATTTCGGACAATACACATAGCAATACAGAATTGAACGGCGTTGTAGTTGTAACCGTGTTTCAAATTGCATTTTACGCATGATTCTCTGCTATTTATATAAAAATTCACACAACCACAAAATAAAAACTCGATCATTCTGTAAGCCTTGGTTTAATTTTATAAACAGTCAAATTAAGTTTGCGAATCCACACAACTTACCTTTCACATAATGTAAACAAACGATGATGGCAACTGACTTCCATAAATAAATACAGTTTAAATACACACACATAGTGTACGCCCTCTCGAGGTCTTAGAGAATTTCCTGTTAACAAAGGCATGTTTTGTTAAAGAATATGAAGATTTACTTGAAAAAAATATATCACTATGTATCACTGTGTGGATACTAGTTTATTGGGGAAAATGTCGCTTTTGAAATGACAACAAAAACTGTGCACAGTAAAAAAGGTACGCTTTCATAACTGGTGTGTATAGCACTTGTCTCTCGTAATCATACGCTTCTATTCAATGAGAGTATGCCGCGTATTACATTTTAAGGCCTTGGTTAAATTAATTATCTAGGAGAATAACCGTCAACTTAGACCTAAACATTCATTAGAACCAGAAACATTGTACAGTATTTATAGTAATGTCAAGTTTTTTGTTATGGTATGCGGGTCCATATTTGACTAGTTTCCAATCGAGAGAAGTATCTGTCAACGATGTTTGTTCAGTCCTCTTTTATTTCATTTTCTTTACAAACGAATTAGAGAACAGATTAAGAGCTTCAAGGCTAAGAGTATACAACTTTTATCGAATGACATGTTTGAACTTTCCTATCTTTTGTACGCGAATAACATTGTTTTTATGTTACAAATTTGGGAAGTATTTTCAATGTTCTCTCTGAGTTTATCCAGAAATGGCATATGTCATATAAGAATATTGCAGTACACCGAATTGGTGGTCATTTCAGTAACAGCCAGATTAGGTAATTTGGAAGCCACCTGACACAGACTGAAAACTCGTACAAATAGTCGGGAATATTTGTGCCTAGTTGATGGCAAATTGTCACAAAACATCTGGCGATAAAAGCCAGAAAAAAAATGTTGTACGTACAACATTTAACCATAACGAAGTTCTACCAGCTGATATCTCCTTGATATTGTGATATTTCCAGTAATGTCATAAGAAAGTGTTCATACCAAGTGCCATACATGATATTTGCGATTGGCAACATCCATTGCGCCATGTATGCTTTTGAGAGATTGTGGAAGACTCCGTTTGTTTTGCAACTATTCAAAGCGATGTATTAAATATTCGCGGAGGGTTACTAGACTGGGGAATGAGCGGTTACCAAACAAGGCCTATAAAATGCTTTTGAATACGCATAACCACGGCAAACGAATCTGGGAAACTGAAATTATGCAACTGTTGGGTAATCTAGCATTTCATGCAGGGTGAGATAATCAAGGAGTGGGAAATATCTTCTACACGAGTTTAAAATCCGAGCTAAACGGGTGAGAAAACTAATCGTTAGTGGCAAATTAAGTCAAACTTAGGCAGAGAGAAATACTTCAATGTCAATTAACACAAAACTTCTATATAAGTATAAGCCTGCTTTGGTAAGTTAATCAATGAGACTGTGAGAAGAGTAACAAATGTATTCCATGAACCTATGAAATAATACATAAAATTCCCCATGAACGTATACAAAAACAAACAAACAAACAAACACAACAACATGCATCCAATAAACATATTATAATGATGTCAGTCATTATACACCATGGTGTTGACAGAGATCTCAGAATCTGTAAACTGTGTTTATATGACATATAACTCACTACGCTTCTACGGTATTTACAAAAAACACGAATTAACCACACTATATGATTTTCATAATATTATGGCATCAGATAATGAAAGTGATATTGAAAATGTAGCATATTTCTGTGTTAATGCATTCAATATTAAAGAGCAATTGCAATTTCATATTATTATTATTATTATTATTATTATTATTATTATTATTATTATTATTATTATTATTATTATTATTATTATTAGTTTTTTTCTATTCACGTCAAGACCTACAATGTAATGTAATGTATTGCTATTCGTATACATGCCTTTGTATTTTTGCCGTTTATTTCGTTTTGATTATACTTAATGACTATTCATCAAGAAACAAAACAATTGTACATCAATATTTGAATACTTCTAGACGACCCCAAAAACCTGCTAGACTAGCAAATACGCGTTGTTATCCTATTGTGCTCACTTTCGTACCTGAGTCAGTTTGGTAGCCGATTCAAATAACAACCACCGAGAATTCTCATACTCCCTACAGCGCTCATGTCAGTTCGCCCCACAAGCTTGTTATCCACCGAGGCGGAGGGAAGCTTCAAGGTAACATACGGCCGTCCAAGTAGTAACAATCGTTTATTGTACATTGGCTGTGTTGAATACGTGCGAGGTCATTCATTCCGAACTAAGGAATGACCTGGTCAGAAATAGAGCGTAAACTATCTTAATACATACACACACACACATACATAGAACGATGTAAGGCCAATGACGTCAATGACATATACACTACTTGGACACTATTTAAAACACACACCTTGAAATTCCCTTAACAGGAAGTAAATTTGCGTTCGGATAATCCTAATTTCATGTCATATGTCATAATAGTGTTTAAATTCAGTTTGTCATTTCCGAACCCACCAACTTACTCTGGTGAAAATAATACAGATATAATACAGGCTGTACGGTGTTAGAGAAAACGAACATTTCAGAGACTAAAATTAAATCTGGTCTGATTGCGCGATTTGACCATCACGGCCATCATATCTGTCGAAAGTTGAGCGTCTAAAAATACTGGCGGTCTTTGAAATGAAGAAGTTGAATTAGGACACGCTATTTGTGTTTGAAAGTGACTTGGACTTACCTTTGTTAAATATTCGTATTGTTTCAAGGCAAGTACAGGTCAATATAACTCACGACCGGTTATCAACACTCACTACTGTTACGCCATGGAATGGGACACTGCGTTTAGCCTGATTTCGTCACGTGCTTGACACTTTTTTTTACTTCCTATTATAGCGCCCTCAGATCAGCGGCGTTTAATTCAGTTGTTTTTATTCAACAGTGGTTGAAGAGTCGCTACAATGCCAAAATCATAAAATTATTGGTGCCCGATCCACGTGTAAACTTCTGAAAGTGTGATTAATCACAGGTTTTGACATGCTAAAGTTCACTACACTAAACAAATTAAAAGCCAATCAGCAGCTTTCGTTCAACTTCAAATGCTTAATAGTGATTGGCCCAATAGATAAACATTGTTTACAACAATAATTATCGCACATGCCTTCACGAGACATTAGCAACTCAGACGGCCCACATATTCAAAATGCGCGCTAGCTGATTGGATAACGTTGAACTATCTAACTAATTTTGACTAGAACCACCGTCCTTTGTGTTGAGGACCGGTACTAGAACTAACTTTGATGTTAGATGTTTTCCCTTATTTAGACAAACTGTGGATATTTGACACCTCTTTCCGGACAGTAAGCATAAATTGTACCAAGGGTAAGGCAGGTTGACTCCCAGGGATGAACTTTTACAGAAAAAACATTGATTGTTGGATCACTCAGACAGGGTAAAATAACAAACCCCTTTTCAGACAGAAGTGGTGAATTTGGGACCCCTTTTGGCGGCACATATACATATAGCTCTTCAATGTGAGTACCCCCCTCACAGATTCTAACATCTTAATATTATCTAACAATTCTAAAAAAAAGTATACACAATTTATAATCACCACAGGTGATATTGCATCATAGATTATTTCAAAATACATTTGAATGACTCGCTGTCAATCCATGTTATTAGTGGTTTAACTACACGCTGTATTGTCTCATATACCTGGCGTTGTTTGCCGTCCGCATTATATGCGGGATTAAAGTATCAAGCTATGACTAACTATGTGATCTACATATGTACAGAGATTTAGAAGGAATCTAGCCGCACTTGTAACTTGTCCGTTTATGTGGAGCATTCTTAACTTTAAATATTATTTTTTCATATGTTTTACTTTCATGTCTTAATTTCATTTGATTCCAACGATGAATCATATTAAATAAATGTATACAACGCCCTTGAGTGATTGATAGCTATACCGATGCAACATGGTGATGTTAGTGTGCTGTTTATTAACTCAAAACTCATCATGATGTACTTCCAGCGCAACAATAAATATCTATAATATTCAATGGCAGTTGAACCCAGTCTGCCAATCAACGAGTACTGTCCGCATCGATGTAATTTGAAAACATTCGAATGTTATTCAATTGACCAATACAAACCTCTCGTTTCAATTTAAATTGTGAAAATTATAGATATCTATAACGATTAAGGACTGCCGATGTTGTGCTAAATATATCTGTACATGTGAAAGTATTATGATATATGTATGTGAAATAGTGTTAGTTGTCAAGCTACACTTCTAATGTAGTATGCATTATATACTATTAATAGAATTACAAAATAGCATCGTATATGCAGCAAAGTAGATTGGTTGACGATCCGCTCCGATCAAAAAACAAACATGTTTTTGGCTGTTGCCATGATAGGACATGAATGTGAAGCTAACGTCGGTTTATAACTAAAAACCGGGCCCCGTATACGAAGTTCGAAAAAAAACATTCAGTTTTTAAAAGTCACTTCATTACTAGCACGAATTCTGCTGTTATAGTTATTATTTCCGACCGTTTTACGATTGTATTTTCTAGATTCTTTGATCGAACGCAGCTTTTACAGTTCATTCAAAGTTCAAAGTTGCGTTGGGTTACGTTGATACAGTGTCACAATGTCGGCGCCGGGGATCTCTTGTCGGTGCAAAACTTAGCCAAAATAAAAAGCATGATCATTTGAACACTGCTATTACAAGTCTTGTAGGAGGTAATACATTTGAGGCGAAAGTATTCAAACAAAAATCAGTTTTTGGCGGTTGCCATGGCAGTACAGTAGTGAGTCAGGATTTTTTTCGATTAGTATGACCTGCCTGCCAGGTACGAACAAAATGCGGTCAGCCACGAAAATCAAAGAAGAGTTAAAAAGCCGTTACTGTTGAAAAAATACTCCAACTTTGAGGCCAAATTCCTCGGTAATGAAAAGAAAATATCAAAAAATATAGTAACTTTGTACCCACACTCAAGCAGAGCAGAATGAGCCATGTCCGAGATTTTTAATCCTAGAATTGTGGGGTGAGATGCAATTGTCCCGAAAGTA